GAGGAGGAGGAGGAGGAGGAGGAGGAGGAGGAGGAGGAGGAGGATTTCCAGCCACCCCGTACGGATAACAGGGTTGAACTCAGCTGCCAGCTTTGGGAAATACATCCCTCGCAATCCGATCGAGATATTTTCGTCGGGTCTTGGAGACAGGTAGAACGCACGGCTTGCCTAAGCCCCTGAGCTGGGCCTGTCCGGAAAAACCGCAAGAGCCGCAATACCATGTCCTCAGTTGGTTGTGATAAAATAAGGCGTGCAAGGAGTCGACCCAGCCACCAGCTAAATGCATCCTACGCCCTCGGGGGAGACGGGATAACCTACCATCCACGGCAGATAGATGGAAACATTTTTTTGTTTTTTTCCCAAACTTGTCGGACATACGCGCCCTGGACGCCGAGCCTTTACACACGCTGCACGACTAATCATTTCCGGTCAGGACATGTGCGGACGCGAACGTGCATCGGCAATAGGAGGGGGAGGAGGAACGAGGGGAGCAGGCCTGGGACCTTCGACGGAGTCGCGGCTGGCCTGAGCGGCCGCGATGGAGTCCAAATCATATCTCAACAGGCATTTCCTGACAAGACGAGCCTGGCCTTCGACCCGCGGGATGCGCGCACGATCTGCCAAAAACGCACGGGCTCGAATCCTCGCTAGGTAGCATATATACCACAGTGTTGCCTTGAATCACCCAGCTTGGCCACCCTTTTTCGGCGACCGCTTTCCCGTCAAGGTGTGACGGAACCTGCACAACTGAAATTAAAGACGGGTCACGCTGCTGGCGGGCGAAGGTCCTCCTTGATGGTCCTCCAGAGGTCGGCCTGCGGTCCTGAGGGCGCATGACACTGGCCCTCAGGACAATATGTGACATAAACGAGCGCACCAAGGGACAACCTAACAGCCCATTCAAAAGCTTGGAGTTCACCCCTAGGTACGGTATGTCCACTTCCTGTGAGAGGGCCTAGCATATGAGGCCCCAGAGAATGAGAGAGAGAGAGAGAAAGAAAACACCACAAAAACGAGAAAGAGAGAGAGATAACGAGAGAGAAAGAGAGAGAGACAGAGAGAGAGAGGGAGAGAGAAAGAGAGAAAGAGAAAGAGAGAGAGAGAGAGAGAGAAAAAAAGAGAAAGAGAGAGAGAGAGAACAAGAGTCCGCAGCCATTTTGGCTCAAGGCCATGAGACACCCGACGACCGCGAGTCCCTCGTGGGCGTCCCTGGAGCGCGAGGGGTCTCGCGCTTTGGGCCAGGACTCTTTGCAATTTCTCGGCCAACGTTCCAGGCCGCGGCGGGCGGCCGCCCTGTTCTCTCTTGCTGTGCTGGGGGCGCTCTCTCTCGGAGTGCGCGGGCCATGGCAGGGGGCGCTGGCGGCGGCGTGCGCGGCGGAGGCGGCAGCGGCAAGTCAGGGGGGCCTGGCGGAGGGCCCCGCAGCCTCGGGTCAGGGGCCGCGGCTAGGGCAGCCGCCAGGTGCCCCTGGCACTGCAAGTCCTGCAGTGCGCCAGACACCAAGGGCTTCAGGAAGCTCAACTTCGGCGAGCGGTTGCAGTGCAAGTGGTGCAACATGCCGAAGAGCACCCACTTCGGCGGGAAGCCCGTGCAGGCGGCGCCCTCGCGCAGCAGCGCCGAGGTCAAGCTCGCCCAGGTGCTCGACCAGCTCAAGAAGTTCAAGGCGGCGGCGGTCCAGCCTGGGCCTAGTGGGGGCACCTCGCCTGGGGGAGGCACACACCCCTGGCGGGATGGCGCAGCGGCGGACCCGAAACGCCAACGCTTGGAGCAGCTGGATAAGCAGCTGGGCGAGATTCGGCGCTGGCCGGACATGGAGGATGAGGTCGATGACTTTGCGGGGGCTGCCCGCAACAGGAAGGCCAAGCTCGAGGCGGAGCGCGAGCAGCTGCGCCAGGAGGTCTCCCTGGCCAAGCCAAAGGATGTGCAGCTCAAGAGCCTCGCGGGCCAGATCAAGAAGCTGGAGAAGCAGCAAGATAAGGGCCGCGAGGAGATGGAGGCGGTGGCGGCGAAGCAGAGGGAGGTCGAGGCCAAGGCCGACGCGCTGCGCTTGGCGGATGTCGGGCGCGAGGCAAGGTTGGTCGAGCTCAGGGCGGGGCAGTCGCGCGCGCTGGGCAAGTTGGCGCAACCTCCTACTGTGGTGCATGATGGCCTGGAGGGCGAAATCGAGGTTGAGGGCCTCAAGTTCTCCGCCGACTTGCTGGGCAAGGTGCTCGGCTCGTTCGGGGTCGAACGGCCCTGCGCGCGTCTCTGCTGGAGCAGGCGACCAAGTTCGAGCAGCCTTGCCGCGAGGCCAGGGCTGCGGAGGCTGCAGCGGCAGCAGCCGCCAGGGCGGCCGAGCGGGCCGGCGTGCCTGGATGGGGTTTCCCTTGAGGAGGGCCGCGCCCCGATCCCTGGGGAAGGGGCCCCTGCAGGATGCGACGCCATGGGCGACGACGAGCTGGACGTCGACGCGCAGCTCAGCTTCCTCACGAAGGTGGGAGCCGCCCCAGCTGGGGCCGAGGGCAGCGATCGCCTTGCCGATGATGACGCGCGTGAGGCCTTCAAGCGGTTCTACGCCGACCTGGACATGCTGCCGCCCAAGCGGGCGCGCACATCGGCCTGAAGGCCTATCAGGTGTCATGGCGGGCAGCAGTGACATGTGGGAGGCCTCTACAATGAGTTGTACGAGGCTGACGAGCAAGTTGCCCTCGAGCTGGGCGACTGCAACTCCTGGGGCACGGGCGGATGCCCAAGCCAGGGGGGCCAGGTGCAGTCAGTGCGCAGCGCGGCAGGGGCTGCTGGGGGCACGGCGCTGGGGCAGCAGCACGTGGGGGCGCTGCAGGCACGCGGCGCTGGGGCAGCCTGTGGAAGGGATGGCAGTCAGCAGGCCTCATCGGGGCTGCTGGGGGTGTTCGGCTTTCAAGGGTACGGCCCCAGGATGTCGGAGGCGGCTGACCAGATGGGGCAGCCGCAGGTGTCGCCCTTAGGGCACGGCCTGCACGATGTGCCTGGAGGCGACCTCTCGGGAGGGGCGGGCTTTCAGATCCACTCTGGGCTGATGGGGTTCGGCCATCAAGGGCGCGGCCCCAGGATGTCAGAGGCGGTTGGCCAGGAGGGCGCCCCCGACTGGCAACCGCGGGCGCCGGCCCCAGGGCGCGGCCCAGGGGGGGGGGGGCGGAGGGATCCAGCCCCTCGAAGTCGCAGCCTTCCCCCCGCACGGACTACGCCATCGGCAGCTCGTTGGAGGCGGGCGAACTGAAGATCGACGAGCTCGGCATTCCTGCAGGCCAGGAAGTCTGCAGGCTCAGACCTCGCCTCGGAGGGCCCTGCAGTCGGCCCTGCGCGCCCCATGCAGAGCTCGAGCCCCCCGCTCGCTCAGCCCCCACAGCCGCGGGGCGGTGCCGCGCTCCCGCGGGCCCCTGCCCAGCCTGGCTCGCCGCCAGGTTGCGCGGGCCCGCCGTGTGACCGTGGAGGCCAGCGCGCGCCCATGATCAAGGGCGGCTGCTGCCTGGCCGCTGCGAATGTGACGTCACGGGGGCCGCTGAACGAGTACCTCCTCCAGGCGGATGGCCAGGCCACCCTGGCATTGGCCGCGCAGGAGCATCGCTGTGGGGCTAGTGTCCTAGCGACGCAGCAGCGGGCCGCCAAGGATGCAGGGTGGCACGGAGTCTGGAACGCTGCTACACCGTCCACTACCTCGGCGACTGGGTCGGTGGGCGGAGTCGCGGTGCTGGCCCCCGCTTGCGTCCAGCTGACAGGGCCCCCTGGGCGGGACTCGCACGTGTTTGTGCCTGGTCGCCTGGTAGCTGGGCATGTGCGAGCGGGACCTCGAGGGGGAGTGGTGGTGCTGAGCGTTTACCTGCACGTTGAGGAGGGCCTCTCGGTGAACAATGTGGGCATCCTCTGGCAGCTGGCCCATTATCTTGGCGCGCTGGAGGCAGAGGGATACCACTGGGCGGCCATGGGCGGCTGGAACATGGAGGCGGACGTCCTTGACTTTGGCTGGTTCCGAAAGCTACGCGCGCAGGTTCGAGTCGCAGACGCCCCCACATGCAGGCAAGGAAGCGGCTCCAAGATCGACTACTTCGTCTAGGAGCCTGGCGGGCTTTGCCGCGGCGCCCCCGCGGCACCACGTGGGCCCCACTGGCCCGCCCACCTGCCCCTGCGGTCGGCGCGGGCGGAGGCGTGGCATCAGGTCCTGGACGAGCCGAGGGCTGGCCCCAGGGAGCCCGCCAGGCCTGGCTGCGCCCGCGGCCCGCGGCGCTGCAAGGGGGCGATGCGCTGTGCCAGGCCACGCACGACGACCAAGGCCTGCATATCATCTGGGACCTGCCGCTGGATGGGGGTCGGGACGGAGATCCTCAACAGGCGGGGCTTGGTGGGGCCCGCCCGCCGCACCTTCGCAGGGCGTGGCACGCGCGGGGCAGCTGCTAGCTTGAGGTGGGAGGTGGCTCGGTGGAGACCTCCCCAGAAGCGGAAGCTGCGGGGGCCAGAGGCCCATGCTTGGGCTGCGCTTGCTGGGTGGGCGTCCGAACTCCTCAGCAAACGGGGCCGCCTGGTCAAGCTGCTGGCAGCTCTGGATAGCCACAGGCAAGCAGAAGGCAGACAGGCGGCGGCGGCGAGAGGCAAGTGCATGAGGTCGATCGCGGCCACCCTGGCGCACCTCAGGATGTTCCTGGAGGGCATCAGGGACCACGTGCACTGGCGCAGCCTGTCGCCGCGGGCACAACGGCCCTTCCGCGCCGACGCCAACTGGACAGAGGACGGCTTCGAGCAGGGCCTGAAGCGCGCGCTGGCCGAGGCGAAGGAGAGGCAGAGGAAGATGGCGCAGGCCGACGAGGCCCGCTGGAAGGGGCGGGTGGGCGAGGCCTTCCTGGGAGGCGCTGGTGCGGCGCGCGCTGCATCCGAGGTGCCAGTGTTTCAGGAGGTACTGCCCGCGACGCAGGAGGAGGGTTCGGCAGCCCTGGTGGACAGGGAGATGAAGCCATGTATCGACATTTAGAACTACCACGGCCTCACCAGCATGGAGCTTCCGAGCGACGCGCACTCGTGGGTCGCGCTGCCACCTTTGCAGCTGCACGACATCCGCGACGTGCTACGCTCCTTCCCCTGGCGCACGGGAGTGGGCCACTCGGGCATCCCGCCGAGAACGCTGGTGGACCTCCGACGACGCCCTGCACGCCATCATAGCGGTTCCCCACAAGTGCGAAGAGCTCCTAGCGTGGCCGAGCGGCCGCCTCATCAGCACCATGGTGGGGCTGCCCAAGCCTGACGGAGGCAGCAGGCTGATTGGCCTCATGCCGACGCTGGTGAGAGTGTGGAGCAGGGCGAGAAGGCCGATCACCAAGGCCTGGGAGCTTGCCCGCCCCTCTTCCCTGGTCTGGGGCACGGGCCCTGGGCGATCGAGCTCTGGCTCCGCGTGCGAGCTGAACCTGGCCAAGGAGCAGGCGCGCCTCAGTGGCTGGGACTCCGCCCAGGTGGCCCTCGACCTCTGGAAGGCCTACGAGATGGTGGCGCCCGGGGCTCAGCTTGTGGAGGCCCGTGCACTGGGGTCCCCCATGGGACCGGCGTGGATGCTGCTGAGCTCCCATCGGCAGCCACGGACGCTGGCGGCGTTCAACACTACGTCGGACCTCTTCGTGACCTGGCAAGGCAACATCGCAGGGCGCGGTCATGCCAACTCGCCGCTACTTGTGCTCACGCTTCGTGCGCTGCAGCGGGCGCAAGCCATTGCGCCGTCAGTGACGCCGCGCGGCCTGGTGGACGACGCCACTCTGGACTGGAGCGGCCCACGTGGCGGGGCCGACGACCGCCTGTCCGAGGCTCGCAGAAGCTTCTCGTCAAGCATGGTGGAGCTCAGGCTGGTGATGCAGCCGCAGAAGTCAGGCTACCTGGCGTCCTCCAGGCGGAGGGCGCGAATGCTAGCGCACTCCATGCAGAGAGCGGGCCTCGCGGAGAAGTTCTGGGTGCGCAACCTGGGGCGCGATCTCCACGGGCGGAAGGTGCTCCGCACGCAGGAGAAACTCCGTTTGCAGGCCCTCGCGGCCAGGCGCAGCCGAGTGGCCATGCTCAGGCGGGCTGCTGGGAGGCGTGCGGCTGCCCTGGTCGCCACGGGGCTCCCACCCTCGGCTGGCCATGGAGCTGGTGCGGCGGGCCTGGCTGATCGGCCACTTGCACAGCTGAGGGCGGCGGCGGCGGTCACGGCGGGGTCAAGGCGGGCTGCGGCACAGCTGCGGTCATGCTGCTGCAGAGGCGCGTGGACTACGACCCCATATACGCGGCCACCATCCCGCTGGTGATGCGCCTGGCCAGCCGCATCTGGGAGGGCCGAGGATCCCTTGCCAGCCTGAGCGCTAGCTGGAGCAAGCTGGCGGAGGCGATGCAAGCGGGCACAGTGTCCTGGGCTACGGCGCATGGCCCGCTTGGGGCCACGTGGCTCACGCTCGGCCGCACCGGCTGGACTATGACAGCAGCGTGGGCCTTGCAGCCCGACCTGGGCGAGACGCCGTCCATGCTGCGGGTTGCCCCTCGGGGCATCAAGGACGCGCTGGTGGAGGGCATCCAGCGCTGGCAATGCAGGCGGCTGGTGGCCCACCTGCCAGAGGGCCAATGCGAGTCCCTCTGGCCTAGGGCCATCCGAGCCATTGCGTGCAAGGCACGGCCCGCGGCGGAGCTGGGGGCCATCCAGGCGGTGTGGGCTGGGGGGCGCTTCACCAACGCCTGGAGGCACGCCCGCGGCTACGCTGTCTCCGACCTGTGCCAGGCGTGCGGGGGTGCCAAGGACACACTGATGCACAGGTGGTGTGTTTGCCCTGCCTTCGTGGCGCCGCGCGACGACGAGCTGGAGCAGGAGGGGCCGCTCCGCGAGCCGATCGTGGCAATGAGGCACCAGTTGGAGGAAGCCGAGCAGAAGTGGACCATCGGGGATAGCGAGCTGCCGCTGGCGCACGGCTTGTCGCTGATGCCAGCGACGCCGCCGCCCGCGCCGTCGGACAACGTGGTCATCGAGTGGGGCGCCGCGCAGGAGGAGTGGCCGTCGGCGGTCTACACGGACGGCTCAGGGCACGCCTCCCGAGCCCCCGAGGCGCGCAGGTGTGGGTGGGCCGCCGTGGCCCTCAGGCCTGACGGGATCCCCCTCAAGGCGGCCTACGGGCCTCTGCCTGGGCCACGCCAGACCGTGGGGAGGGCGGAGCGGCACGCGTGCCTGGCCCCGTTGGCGCAGGCTGGCTTCAGTCCCTGGTCACGGAGGGCAGCGGCTGGTCCCCGTCGGCGCAGCCGGCCAGAGCGAGGCATGCCAGCATCTGGAGGGAGCTCCACGCGGTCGTGGCGAAGCGAGGTGGGCCGCCGCCGCGGTTCCGCTGGGTGCCTGCCCACCGCGCCCTCCAGCAAGCGCTGGACGAGGGCTTGCGCCCACTGGACTGGCTTGGGAACTGCTGGGCGGACTTTTTCGCCAACCTCGTCGCCAGGGTCACCAGGCTGCCGAACAGCACGGCGGAGGCGCTGCACGCGGAGCTCCAGCGGCCCTGGACACGGCCACGTACCTGGGATGGGCGGCGACGCGGATTTGCCAGCTGGATTTGTGGAGGCCGCTCGGGGAGGACGGCAAACTCCAACGCAGGCAGGTCTGGAAGGAGCCAGCTGCCCCGAAGCTCAGCCTCACGAGGCGCGAGTACCAGGTCACCAGTTCAGTCGGGGTGCAGCGCGTCCACTGTGGGCGTGCGGCCTACACGGCCAAGGCATGGGAGTTGCTGGACTGCAGGCCTTGCCCACCCACGGAGCTGGGCAGGATGCGAGCCCGCTGCCGTCAGGGTCGGCCGATGGCGAGCTCGGCTGCAGTCAATGCAAGCCTGCAGGCGGCTGAGCGCTTGGAGGAGGAAGAGCTCCTGTCTATGAGTGGAGCGGCCTCTGCGACACGGGGCCAGAGCCGGAAGTGGACGATGCAGCAGAAGATCAACTACCTGCTGGAAGCGGCCAAGAGCACCCCTGCTGAAGGGGCTGCTGGCGCTGCAGCTGCTGGGCCGCCACAGGCACAGAGGGGGGGGCGGCCCGAGCCCCGCCCTGGCCCAGGCCGGGGGCTCGCCAGCGCTGGGCGGCGCGCGGGCTTGGCGCGGCCGCGTGAGGGCAACGACCACCACGCCATCGAAGCGTGGGACCGCTCGGGGCCGTTGGAGGCCGCCCTGGGCTTGCTGGCCAGCTCCTGGGTCGTTGATCTGATGGGCCAGAGCCTTGCCTACGCGTCTTGGATGGAGGAGTGCGTCGAGCACGTGTGCAGGATGCTGGACGAGGAAGTCTACCGAGGCTTCTTTGTGCACAACAGCGCCGAGGCGCGCAATGCGGAGAGGCTGAGGCGGGCCGAAGGGTTATGTGAGCGTGGCTGGCGGGACGGCGGGCCGTTCAGGGAGTCCCACATCGACGAGGCGCTACAGCTGGAGGGCGAAGACAGGCAGGTCAAGCTCCTGCGGCTGCGCTGCTGCCACGCTGCGGCGCGGGCCTTCCTGTGCGACCGCGGCAATGCGCGGCGTGCTGGGGGGCGGCGAGGGCCGCTCTACTTCGCCGTCTTCGAGCCCGCGGGAGGGGTGCTTGGCAGAGGAGGTGACGGGGGACGGCAGAGCGGCGCGCCCCAGAGGCGAGGGAATTCGAGGTCCCCGCCGAGCGGGCGCCCAGCCAGCAGCAGGGCCCTGCAGGAGGGCGAGCCGCGCCGCAGGAGCCGACGCCGCCGTGGCCAGGGGGCGCCGTGGAGGGACCGCAGCGGCCAGCGGGGCCGCAAGCTGCCCCCGCCCAGCGGCGCAGGCGCAGCGCGGGACGAACGGCCAGCAGTCCCCGCTCTCCGCCAGGGCGTAGCCATCCTCTGGAGCACAACGAGTCCGAGAGCAACAACAGTCCCGAGCCTGATGCCGTGTTCGGACTCGAGGCCCTGCGCTGCATGCTGAGGGCTTTCGTGGGCTGCTGGGTGCTCGACCTGCGCGACTCGGAGGCTGCGGGGAGTTCTTGGACTGCCTGGGCGGCGGCGCAGTATGCCCTCACTTGGCTCGCCAGGCCAGGCAGGGAGGAGACGAGGGCAGAGGCTACGAGGCTTGCAGGCTCCATAGGCCTGAGGGCGCTGGCACAGGCAATGGTTAGGCAAGCCTGGCTCATGAAGGCCGACGTGCGGCGCTTCTCGGTGGAGCACTTGATGGACCTGGCGGCCCTGGAGGAGTGGCTGCACTTCGCCGCCATGCAGTGGGCCACGCAGGATGAGGTCTGCCACGCCCTGGAGGACGTCATCGGTGAGGCGGTGGTCAACCTGCCTGGGCTGCCTGGCTTCGCTGGGCCCCTGCCTGGGTTGGGCCCCGCTGGCGCCAGCGAGCAGCCACCCCGCCAGGCTGGGCTGCCGCGGCCCCAGGGCCTCCGCAGCCGAGGGATCGAGGCCTTGCGGCGGCTGTGGACAGGCACCTGGCAGAGTCCGCAGCTGCCGAGGGAGGGCGCCACGCGGGGCGGGCCTGGCGACCTGGGCAGCGGCAGCGGCGGCGAGGACGACTTGCCGCGCCCCGACGCGGCGCCATCGGGGCTGCCTCCGCCCCCGCTCGCGGCCGCAGGGGGGCAGATGCTGCCGCAGCAGCCAGCGGGGGCGGCTCAGGGCGTTCGAGGTGATGCTGCTGCGGAGGGGGGCGGTGGCCCCAGGCAGGCCGACGGAGGAGCGGCTTCGCGAGGGGCGGAGGGCCTCCTCGTGGCGGCTGCCTGCGCTGTGGCGGCGGCGGTCGCGGCGGCCGCTGGACCTGGCGCGCGCGGCGGAGGGGCCCAGGGGCCGCACAGGGGGGCCCGTGAGGCCCAGCGCTCGAGGGGCCCTGAGCGGGTGGCAGGCCCCCGTGCTCCACGGGGGGAGGTGCAGCTGCCCGAGGTGTACCTCGGGCACGGCATGCGCATCGCGGGGCCGTGCGCCTTCTGCTGCAAGTGCGGGGCGTTCTCGCAGCTGAAGGGCGTGGGCCGCGCCAAGGGCCTGAAGGCGGTGCGCGGCGGCAGCCTGCCGCCAGGGCCGCAGGCCACGGCGGGGGAGAAGAAGCAGAGGCTCTACCTGAGCCGATTGCTGGGCGGCAAAGACCCATATACTGGGCGACCGCTCGGATGAGCTCTGGCCTCGCGCTGCTGGCGGGATCCCTGGTAGCCCCGCGGGCCTTCTGGCTGTGCGCCTCGCGCTCGGCCGCCTCCTGGGCGCAGCCTCGCTGGGGCCCAGGGCCTGCTCGGCCGCGCGCTTGCGCGTGGCCGCCTGCGGCCTGCCGGGGCGGGCCATCCTGATGCCGGGCCTGCAGCCGCGAGGGCTGCGCGGCCTCGCGCGCGCGCGTTCGGGCGTCCGCGGGCGGCTCTGACAGCCCGCGGCCGCTCCTTGGGGCGCGAGAGAGAGAGAGAGAGAAAGTGAGAGAGAGAGAGAGAGAACACAAAACAAAAAAGAAAACCAAGAAAGAAAGAGAGAGAGAGAGAGAGAGAGAGAGACAGAGAGACAGAGAGAGAGGAATAACATCACAACAAGTCACTATGGCCAATCCGACCCTGCGCAATCTACTATCGTGTGCATCGGCTCCGCCCGAGGCGCCGCCGAAAACAACAAGTGGGTCCCGAGGGATCCCTTCCCCGAGAGACCCAGGCCCAACCAAGGCCCCATTGAGCAGGCCGTTGCCGCCCCAAGACTCAAAGCTGGAAGGAGGAGTGACCGAGGTCCAGGGGGCAGGGAGGAACCCCCGCACCCAAACGCACGGGTAGGCGTCCGAGTTGGCGACAGCCTCAGGTAAGAACGGCGATGATTGGCCGTGGGCGGGTGACGTCTCGTTTTTGGCACATGTCCAACATCGGTGCAGCGCCGTCTCACGGCCGTCTCTGCACCTCTCACACATATCACCCGTACAGCTTCGCACTCGTTCATCGAAACCCCTGGCTTTGGTCCAGAAGCCTCTCGTGGCGATCGAAACCATCAATTCAGACAGTTGGCGACCTTTCTCGACGACGGTGAGGTCTGAAACAAATTTCCTGTATGACTGCATGTCGGCTCCGTCCTGGAGCCCCTCTCCACAGTACAACTCTGCGGCGAGACGCCACTGCTTCAGCCCCATGGTGGGCTGCAACTCGTAGAGCAGCGGGGATGCCTGATCCAAGCTCACGAACTCGTCACTCCCGAACTTCCAGGAGACACCAGCGTGAGCGTCGTCATTCGGCACATCCCACTCCACGGGCGAAGTCGGGGTCCACCCCGCTTCCAGCGAATAGAGGATGATTGTGGACATGGACCCACGGACGTGCCTACTCCGCAGCTCGGGTCGCGCACTCATCATGTGCTTGACTGTCAGAGGCCATGCTAGAGAGATCGACGGCCTAAGCTGCGGCTCCCCCGGCCACATTGCAAGCCAGAGAGACACGCATTGCTGAGGGAGGAGAGCGCCTGGGTCGGCCCCAGGCAGACGCACGGCCAGGAGCGTGGTGAGACACCTCCCTCTCTTGGAAGACCCTGCTACTGCTCCCAAGCGTCGGCGCTGCAGAAGCATGTTGGCGCCAAACGCGCCATGCACCTGGTGGCCATGCACTTTCGCGGCTTGTGGTCCTGCGCGCTGCAGCTCCGCCGTGGCATACCATCGTCTCGCGGCCTGGGCAAATCGCCTCAGCCTGCTGTGGGGCATGACAGCCTTGGTCGAGCGCTTCCGCACAGTGGCTCGGCCCTGGCGACGGCCCGAGTTCAGGTCTACTCCTAAATTAGATGTCTGAAGGACTGCCGAAAGCGAGACACCTCGCCGTCGCAGGTTCCTTACAACAGCGACAGCATCTAAACGATGGGCACACGTGACCACGCTCTTGGGCGAAATCTTGAGCCCCAGGCGATTGAACTCTCTAGTGGTGGCCAAAATCCCATTGAGAAGCGTGGCCCTGACATGTTGCCTCGACCCTGAGACTCTCTGAGACAAGTCATCAATCCAAGTCTTTTCTGGCATCGGCGGGTGCATGACACGCAACGTGCTGCACGCGCACGCTGTTAAACATTGGCAAATCTTGTGCCTTTCCTGGGCCCCTGCACGATAGAGCACGAGGCTTGGGAGGGCTCTGGCGCGGAATCGAGCTGAGCCAACATTCGTGGAAGCAAGCGCAGCTGCAGCTGCGCGCCAGAGGCGCCCACTCGATGCCGTCGCAGAAAGCCTCCACGTCCAACCGGCTGTGCCCACTCGCGATACCCAGCAGAGATTGGGAGTCGTCCTGCAGCGCCCTCACGAAAGCCTCCTTGAGAGCGCTGTTGCCAGCGATCGCAGCATCCCACCTGTCATCTTGATGGGCTGACCACTCCTTCATCTGCACCTCCCGCGCCATGGACCAAGCCCGACGCAGCATCGGCAAGAGCCCAATGACGCAATCGCCGCCTGTCTTCTTGGCGAGCAGGCGGCCGATGATGGGCATGACCTGGCGAAGAGGTCGCACGTGCCTTGAAGACCCTCTGGCGGCAGGCGCTCGAAATCGGAATCGAAGCCGCTTGGGCTTTCATACCTCGCAGGGCGCTCTGCAGCTCGCTCACCGACAAAGGCTCGAGGCGCTCGGCCTCGGCCGGAGACCTGGTGAAGGCGAAGGTGTCCGCGATCTCCTCGTGCGTGGCTGTGCCTGTCCACCTGGTGCGCCACTTCTCAACTTTCTTGTCAACAATGTCCCGTGGATGGACCAAAATGTTGAAACCGTCGTGGTGCTTGTCGGGCCCTGGCTCACCGTCTTTGACACTGCGGTGGTCCTGTCCCTGACAAGCCGACGAGCTGATCCAGTCCTGGAACTCTCTTAATGGTGATGTTGCTGCTCGACTCTGAGCGCGTCGAGCAGCACGAAAGCATTTCTCTTCCCAATCGGCCAGGCACTCGATGCCTACGCATGTCTGTCAGCAGTGACGTCCAACTTCCCTGGGAATGCGGCAGGGCAGCACCCGCCCCGTCAAGAGGCTGGTCGGTCAGACGCCTGGCCGCTTCCGCCAGTAGAAGCACCTGGCTCTGCCCGTCGCCCCTGCGACGATGTCGCAACGCTCGCTGAAACAGAGTGCGAAGCCGATTCCACCATCCTGCGACACCGTCTCTGAGCGGCTGTGAGCGAACACGTTCGGCCTGGCGAACGGGCACCACCTTCTCCGTGAAACCTTCGCCCCTAGATGCCCTGGGCGTGCACGTTCCATGGCGCTGGTAGATTGATCGTTCCACTCCATCTATCCATCGCGCGAAGCAACTGCTGATGGGGAGGATATGCTTCTCGCCAGCCTGATAAGCAAGCGAACCTTTGATGGGCGACCAAACGCCGCCAGTAGAGTGTGAGTGCTAAGGAACTTGAGCCGAAGCGTCCACGCACGTGGAGACAGGGATGTAAACAAAACGGGAGAGGGGGCAGAGGGGCATCATCACCAGCAGGTGTGAGATTATCCGGACCCTCGGCCGTGCCGAGGTCCGTTTCCCCTGGGCTGCTGACAAGGGCTGGATCAACCTCTATCTCACCGCCAGCTTGGGCGCCTCCTCCAGACGCGGTTGGGCTCACTATGCAACTTGAACGCTTCTGCCCGCGCGCGCTGGCGGGTTGAAAGTAGGTCTCCTCGGCCCAAGGGTTCTCCTCTTCAGCGTAGTCCCCAAAATCGAGGTCGCACCTGTCAACGCCAGGGGCTTCCTCTGGGGGGTTCTCGGCCGCGGGGCCAGGGGCCGAGGGGCCATCGCCGCTAGGCCCTGAAGGCCGGGTAGCAGAAAAACATCGGAAACAAGTGCGTCACAATCCGCCCGAATACGTTCTCGGGCTTTATCTGCCCTCTCCTGTTGGAGGGCCCTGGCTAAGCTACTCTCGGAGCCTGCGGCGGGGCTCGAGGGGGGCGACGCGCGTGAGGGGGGCGAGGGGCAACTTCAAGGGACCTTATCATCAACTGCTGACCTACCCCGCGGGGCTTAATTTCTAATCCACAGCGCGGGCTCCAGGGGGCGTCGGTGACCGCAGACGCGCTATGTATGTATGGCAGGCAACTCTCAGCAGCAACAACAAAATCGATCTGCGAACGACCTGCACTCCATACGCAAGGCAATTCTAGTTCAGCCCGCTCAGTTAAGCCTTGGATTCGCATCAAGAATGCCGAGCGCTGAAACACACCGATGTCTATGTTAGAGTCTCCAACAACGAACCATGGGAGCTGAACGCTCTGGATGAAAGCGCCAAGCTTTGCCAAGCGCTGAAGGTTTTCCCCCGCAAATCCCACTGAAGGATGAGCGTAGAGGATGATTGCAACGATGGGAAAACCTGTCATATGCATTTCGACGGGCAGGGCACCATCGAGGGCATCTGAGCCCTCCGAACAAACATTGGGCACAGCTTGTGCCTTCGGGAAGACTCTGTGCGCATGGCGATGCCCCTGATACATGAAAAGCTCCCCTCCCTCGTTGGCCTTGCCTACAGCAGCCGACGAGGATGCTCGTCCTGTCGCGCCAGCTGGGTTATCTACAAACCTCCACTTGATCCTCCTGGTACTCCGCGCCCACTTCGATCGAGCGTGGCATCCAGCGTGGGTCTCTGTGAGGCTGATCTACTGATGCTTATGCAAGAAATCGGGCGCACTGATGAAATTCCAAGCCTTCGGTCCGAGGCGCGGCACATTACCGAAATACAACATGCTGCAAAGCTCGGGCTCGTAACTGACTGTCAGCTTGCCTGGCGGCCGGGGCGGCTCGGTGACCGAGGATGCCGCTGGGCCCTCGGTCGCCGCGCGAGAGCTCAGAGCTTCCGCCCCTCGCTCGCCGTCGGCGGCGCCGACGGCGCCGCCGCGCTGGCGCCCGCCCCCGCCGCCGCCCTGATCTGGTTCATCTCGGCCTTGATCTCGGCTTCTGTCGGCGCGCCTGGAGCTGCCGCTCTGGCGGCCGCCGCCCCTGGCTCTGCCTGGCCTGCTGCAGCTCCTCCAACAACGGCGGCAGCAGGGCCCCAAGCACTTGGCGCAGCATCTGTGCCCTCGCCGGGTGTGTCCGCGCGGCGCTCCTTCGCCGCGCGCTCCTGGGCGCGCTTCTGGAGCCCCTGCGTCCTGGAACGCCGCTGGGAGACCTGCTCAGCCTTGGACTGCGCGCTCGCCTTGGCAGCCCGCAGCTCGGTCTCCATCTTCTCGAGCTCCTTCTCCTCGGCCCCGCAGTCGAGCTCGTCGACACTGTCTATGAGCGGCACCTCACTCCCCGCCGCTGCTGGGGCGGGCGGCTCGGCCGTGATGCCCGTGGCCTTCGCCAGGGCCGCCGCTGCGCACCGCCTGCGCAGCTCCGCCTTGGCCAGGGCGAGCGCCGCACCTTCCTCGTGCTCGCGGGCGCGCTGGAGGTTGGCGGCGCACCGCTCGACCTGGGCGCGGGCCTGCTCCCACTTGGCCGAGAGGGTCTCGACGGCGTCGGGCATGCCCTTCATGGCTCCATGCAACGGCTGCGTCTGGGCCTTCTGCTGCTGTTCCTTGGGCTTCAGCGGACCTCTGAACAGCATCAGCTTTGTGCCGCACTTGGAGCTCTGGCAGCCATTGCGGGAGAGAATCTGATTCCATTCGCTTCTGCCACAGCTGTGGCACTTGGTCCAAAGATCTGAAGTCGTCGTAGTGGCAGGCGTATGTTGCTGCTCCCTTGACCTCTGTGCCTTCCCCATTGCTGGCTGAGGGAAAGAACTGGTTGTGCGACATGCGTCCCTTTATCCAACCCGCTTGCCGACCGAAACTAAGTGCGGGTGGTCGGCAGCGGGTGGAGGCGGAGCAGGCGGAGCAGGCGGAGGAGGCGGAGGAGGCGGAGAAGGAGGAGGAGGAGGAGGAGGAGGGAAGAGGAGGAGGAGGAGGAACCCGTGACGGTGGCGCCCCGGCCACGTTCGCGCCTTGCCGGGGCCGACTGTCGCTGCTGGCTGAGCGAATGCAGGTGGAGGACGGAGCGGAGGCGGAGGCGGAGGACGAGGAGAGGAGGAGGAGGAGGAGGAGGAGGAGAAGGAAGAGGAGGAGGGGGAGAGAGGAGGAGGAGGAGGAGGAGGGGAAGAGGAGGAGGAGGGAGGAGGAGGAGAGAGGAGGAGGAGGAGGAGGAGAGAGGAGGAGAGGGGAGAAGGAGGAGGAGGAGGAGGGGGAGAATGAGGAGGAGGAGGAGGAGGAGGAGGAGAAGGAGGAGGGGGGGAGTTCTGGAGTTCTGGATATAACGACTTGGTCGCTGACGGTTCAACTTACTTAGACCTCTTGGCACGCTCAGCTTCGCTGTAGACCTTCGGCCAGATATTACGCGAGATTCTACCTAGATCATCACCACGATTACCCTGAACACTGTCTGGGCACACTTGCGCTAGGTTAACGAGCTGCTGTGCTGCGTAATACCCGCACGCTGTGCAACACCAGACCCCAACCCCGCGTGATATGTGAATTTGTGGCCCTGGTCGGCAAATCCCCCCCTATGTGCACCCGCCGCCCAGGGGGAAGTTCAAAAGGTCGAAACATTAAGACTGATGCCCAGCGGTCTGTTTATCCTTCGTGGTCGCCCCCCCTGCACCTGCTACACTTCCGAGGATCACTATCACACACAGAATGGTGAGAACTGAACATGGCACACACAGCGGGGGCTGGCGGGCGCACGACGGGAGCCTTTTTGTTTCTCACGTCTGCGCCCCGACTGGGCACTCTCCACTTCCTCCGCCGTCAGCACCTCGATCTGGCTCTGGAGGATCCGCATCCTGACGAGGTACGCCATGTGGTCATCCTGATGGTACCTGGAACGCGCGGCCCCGGGCAAGCGGGCGACGTGAGCACCCACTGCAGCGACATTATCGGCCAGCGCATTCCCCATGATTACTAACTCAGGTGCTGTGCGATTGGACTGCTCAACTGCATCTTGATGATAATGAAGAACAGTACCGCGCACCTCAGAGCAGGCTTGCGCGACAACACTCGTCCCATCTGCCACCATATGTCAGCATCTGGCTCTGCAGGGTTCTCATACCGAAAACAATGCCAACCAATAGAGACAACTTTGCTGTCGGCCACGAGCACTGTGTTGCCGTCGCTGCCATCTAAAAACGAAAGCAGCGTTTGCAGTTCACAACCACCTGTCGACTGCCAGGCAATGCTCCCCCCATGCCATAAGAAATGCCGAACGCCTCGTTGAGATCAGTGAACACTGCCAGACTTACTCCAACACGCCTCAAGATCAGGTGATTCGTCTCAATGCCTCCGCTCGCATGGCCGAAGCCGAAGGGAGGACACTCGATGCTGCCAACACCGAAACAACCATCACCATAATTGAAGCCCGTGGTCTGCCAATATGGTGTGTTCGGTGGTGTATCAACTGCAAGCCACTGGGCGGGGATCAACCCGCGAGTCTAGAAACATGCTTCTGCGTCACCTTGCACAATCACCTTACTCACAAGCTGCTCCGTCATCATGTACACTGGATGTCCCTGCGCACATCCGTCACAACCCCAGACTCGGTGCAGCGCCGTCTCCTTGCACTTGCGGCTTCGGTCTTCGCCAGCTCGAGCGCAGCAGCGCGTTCTTTGCCTTCAGCCGTCTGCAGCTTAGTCCGTAGGCGTAGCACTTGACTGGCTAGGCTGGTCCTGACGATGCGACGCGGCTCGCCAAGCACTGTCGGCCTGCTTGACCGCGTCCACCTCGGTGCCGCTCTCAACGGGCTTGGCGAGGACCTCCAACCTCTGCCGCCGAGCCTTCAGCACCGCACATCTCCGCGTCATGAGGTGCTTCCGGGGCCTGCTGGAGCAGCTTGTCGAGCGCCTCGTTCTTGGGAGCGCCCTTCCGCCCACCGGGGCTCGTGCCCCTGCCCCGAGAGCTGCCACCGTCCTCGCCGCCATTCTCGTCCCCGAAGGACACCGAGCGGTCGACGCCGGGCGAGCGCGGACGGTACAGCGTGGCCTTGGTGTTGCACGCGCCACACCGACACCCCGCTTAGTGAGAACGCCATTGTACTCACACTTCTTGCAAGCCGAGCACCTCGTCCAGGGGCGATTGGGCCGCATGATCCCTGCTTTCGCACACTACTGGGAACTGGGCCAGACATCAGGAGTGTAGACTCGCGCACCACAAGTCAGGTACAGGGATTGGACTGGGCACGCCTTTGATCGGGATCAAAGGACTTGGTGCTTAAGCCCACATGGCTTGAGAGAAGGAGGAAAAGGAGGAGGAGGGGGAGGAGGAGGAGGGGGACGAGGAGGAGGAGGAGGAGGAGGAGGGAGGAGGAGGAGGAGGAGGGGGAGGACCCGTGTAAACCTAAGAGTTATCAACGATGGTTGAGTAAACCCTTTTTCCAAGCTCCCTCCTTACAGGCCTCTGTAGCGTTTTATTTCCATTGATGGAACTGCCTCGTTGGAACACGCCCGTTTGAAGACCCTGAAGCATGCGAAAACATTGTTCCAGGGATTCCAACGCCGCGTATGAACCTGATTGTTGCGTTTTGACGATCCTGAATCACGCCAGAACGCCATTCCTAGGGCTTCAATGCAGAGAATCAGTTAAAGCTGTTGCACCCGTATATCGTGAACCTTTCCAAACTAGAATGTCTGGTGCGTTGATGTTGATAATCCTTGAAACATTTGAAACTGTTCACAACGAATGCGCGCGGCGCTACGGCGGGAGCCACATGTTGAAAAGGAACCGCCCTCAACCCGCGACGCTCTTGCAAGTTTTTTGCCGCGAACGTGCGCCGCGCTGACGCGAGAGCCACATATTGAAAACGATTCGCTTTCAGTCCGTGTAGCTCTTGCACATGTTCATACGAATGCGCGCTGCGCGAATTTAAAAAGGGACCGCCCTCAATCCGTGAAGCGATTGCAATTTTTAAGCACGAATCTGCGCCGCGCTAGGGCGAGAGCCGCGCTTGAAGAAAAACCCGCCTTCAATCCGTGAAACTCTTGTGTTTTCTACAGCGAGTGCGCGCGGCGCTGAAGCGAGAGCCACAGTCTGAAAAGGATCCGGCCTCCATCGGGGACACTGAGGAGGAGGAGGAGAGGGAGGAGGAGGAGGAGGAGGAGGAGGAGAGGAGGAGGAGGAGGAGGAGGAGGAGGATGAGGAGGTCGAGGAGGAGGAGGAGGAGGAGGAGGAGGAGGAGGAGGAGGAGGAGGAGGAGGAGAGGGAGGAGGAGGAGGAGGAGGAGGAGGAGGAGGAGCAGGCTGAGGTGGCGAAGCGAGAGGGTAACGCAGGGCGGCCAGGCCCTGAACCCCGTCCGGCCTTCTCGCGCGCGCCGCGCGCGGCGCGTAGATGGGCGATTCGGGTGAAGAGGTCCTTTGCAAAGGGGTCCCCACAAGTGTTCGCAGCAGTTCGCGCAGTCGCTCGCGATGGACCGTGCCGCGGGCGGGGTGCGCTGCATCTGGCACCGCTCGTCCGCGAGCGGAGAAAGTATTGTGTTACTGCTTGGTGACCGCACTGTGAAAGACCCCTTTGTCACGAACCAAACAGGCGGCTCGCCACCCGCCTCTCGCCATCGCTCGGACGTCCATTCCCTGTGTTTTTTTCCGTTTCGTGCGTGGCTTTTTCGCCAAATGATAAAGGATGTTCTTCGATGGTCCTCGCCGAAGGAAACATGCACACGTCCGAGCGATGCCAAGGCCTGTGCCTGTGAATATGACTCTGCCGCAGCGGGCGCGGCCGAGGCTGGCGGCTGGCGCCGCGCCCTTTCCTCCCCGGGTGCGGGCCCGGCGGCGGGGGCCCGCGCGGGGCGCTGTTTCTTGTTGCGGGTGCCGCCGGGAGTGCCCCTGGCCCGGGGCGCCCCCCAGGATCTTCAGGGGCGCCCTCGAGGGCGCGAAGTTCTTCGCGCTTCGCGCTTCGGCTCCGATTCCCCCTCGTCCTCCTCTCTTCCCCTGGGAGGCGGCGCGAGGGCGCGAAGCTACTCGCGCTTCGCGCAGCGCGCAGCGCGAAGCGCGAAGCTGGGCGCCCCCAGGATCTCCAAGGGGGCTCCCACAGACCCCCCCCCTCGAGTCCTCCAGGGCTTGACGACGCTTCGGCGTCAGCTTTTGATGGGCAAGCTGGGCGTATCGAGGCGAATGCGGATGAGTCGAGGTACACCCTAGGCGATGCTTAAGATAACTTACGTTTTCGGCCAGAGTCTCGATTATCCTTGATGTTTCAATGCAAGTCCTAAGGTTTTAATAGAAGTTTCGGTTTTTATTCAAAATCTGACACTATGAATTTCTTAACCCATGATTTCTTAAGCATTTCCCAGGGTGTACATTCAAAGTGGACCCAGGCAAGTCGAGGTAGGCCCAGAGCTCCCACAGGAGATGTGGAGCACATCGTGGCCGCTCCCGCGCGAGCCGAGGGACGGCAGGAGTTGTGAAGCCCTGCGCGATCGAGCCACGGAAAGGCAACGGCGGGAGGTGTTGCGCTACGCTCGGCCGGTGGGGCCCCTCTCCGGGCCTCGAGACCGTCAAGAAACGGCCTGGGATGAAAAACCTGTCCCAGGGACCGGGTCGAAGCCGCTGGTGATCCACGTCATGCACAAATCAGGACGTCGGGGGTGGGAGGCAGGGGCGATGACGGTCCTGCGGCAGGGTTGCCTGTCGACTCCCCGGCACACGATGTGCGAGAGGGAGGGCAAACAAACACAAAGTCATGACGTCGGGGGTCTGGGTCCACGCCCTCCAGAGCACCCCCTCACGAGGCCCAGAGGGCCCCCCAGGGGGCCCCCGAAAGCTCCACCAGGAAAACTGGGTGCGCCCTGTGGGCCGGGGGGGACCTGTCGCAACCCTCGAGCGCTGCCAGTGTCAAGGTGCTGCCCCGCGCCAGCGCAGGGTCGCGCTGCCCCCAGGTTCCCGGGGGGGCACGGTGCGAGCCTCCAGAGGTTCGGGGGTGGACAGAACCCCCAACAGTGACACGTCGATTAGTGAATTGTCCGTTTTCGGTTCTCGAGAGGGCGCCGTGGCCGCTATATTCCAGGCTTGCGCCCGCCAGGTTTGGGCCTCAGGTCGTTTTCACTGAACCACGTTTTACTGAAGGGGGGTCTGTCCATCCTGAGGTGCATTCAGCACCCAGGCCGTATTCGGTAGCCACTCATGGGAGCTTGGTGTACCAAGGATGTTCGCGGTTCGGTCGGTTCGGTTGCGTCGCGGTCGGTTGAGTTCGGGCGGTCGATCCGGTCGGCCACTGTGTCGTTGCTGCGTCGCTGTGCCCTTGTAATTAGGCTGCTTGCGGCCTGGCGAGGTTGGTTTTCGGTTTTGTTGTCGCCGTGCACGGCCTTGCATACCTTCGCAATTCTGTCTTGGGAGAGCTAGCGCCGATTGGCTTGTGGTACTCGATTAAGTAGAGAATCCCGACCTGGCGTCGATTTAGGGTCGACTAGCGGCGATGAGCGTCAGTTCACCAAGGCCAACAAGATGGTATGGGAGGCTTCCATGAGTTGCCAACGAATCCGCAGCATCCAATTGTGATTGACTACCGAGGAAGAACAACAAGCATCCGTAAGCATGAACTTTCGGAGCTCCACACGAATCTCTTGGATCGGCGCTGGTTTCCCCTGGCGGCGCCTCTGACGCCGCCCTCGGCGTGTTCCGCACGTCAGCGCAGATCCAAGAGATCCGCGCGGACCTGCTAAAGTTAATGTTTACGCAGGTTTTTGTTCCTCTAGACCATCCGTCCCCGCCGAGATCGATCTTCTGCAATGGACGCGGTCGATCCGCTCCATGTATGTGGTTGCTGTTTAAATATTCTTCTAGTCGCGCGCTCAAAGAGATCCCTTTAGTTGTTGTGCTTTGGCTCGAGACGTCCAGCTTCTTTTTTGAGCTCCAGCGACGTATCGCTTCCTCGTTCCTAACTCAAGCGTTCCAGGTTGGTTTACTGTCGCTGTGCATCGTTCTTCGAGCTCAATTAATTCGTGCGATGCTGACTCACCAGCGCCGTCTCTGCCATAGCGTCACTGCAAAACCGCACACCTCACCTTCTACACACTCAAAGTGCTGACGCTTCGTACATCCCCACCAGCCCATCGATACATTATTTCCAGGCGGATTGTCCTGACCAGTGACGTGTAGGAACATGCGGTGGAATCAAAAAGGGGATGGCAGTAATCATCTCGGAATGAGCGCTTTCAGCAGGCCCCCCCCCCGGTGCGAGCCGAAAGTGGGGGTAAAGCAGCTTCCCGTTCCGAACAGGGGGAAGGGGGTTGGACACTTCCCCCCGATTCGAACCGAAAGGGGGGGGGGAGGGGGGCGGGGTTGAGATGCCCCCACCTCCACTGGTTGAGACCGGGGGGGGCGAAATCCCATTCCAGCTGGACCCGGCCCTAGTAGGACTCTTATTGGAGCTGGACCTCGCCTTTGTAGGATTCTTTTAAAGCTGGGCTTTAGTAGGGTTGTGTGGAGGCTGGACCGAGCCCCATTAGGGTTTTATTCGAGCTGCATCGAGACCGCAGTATGATGATACTAAGGCTGCATCCAGCCCATAGTAGGATTGAACGAAAGCTGGATCGAAGCCTACTCGGGTTCCATGAGAGCTGAATCTAGCCCCGTTAGCCGGATTCGATTAGATCTGGACCGAGCCTTTGTAGGATATTCGAATTGACTCGATCATTCGCGCGATTCTAGTATGTAGAGCTGGATCCAGCCCGTAGTAGGATTCGATTCGAGCTTGACCAAGACCCGGTAGGGTTCTATCAGAGCTGAATTCTGCCCTAGATCTAGAATTGTTGTAGGATTACATTGGTGCTGGGTCCAGCCCGAGCAGGATGCCATTAGACATGGATCTAGCCGTTGCAGGCTTCTATGCGCTTATCCGAACTTCATCGGGACCTCTCTGGGTTTTGATGTTAGAGCTGGATCCAGCCCCAGTAGCAGGATTCGATTCGACCCGCTTCGAGCCCCCCTTCCCCCCCGTATGGTTTCTGAGGAGGGTCCCCCCTCCCTGGTTCTCGGGGAAGGAGGGGAGGCTTGTTCTACCCCCGCCTTCGGCCTGAGCAGACCCAGGAGAGAACCAGACAGGTGCTCGCGGCTTGTTCCGAAGGAGGAGGAGGAGGAGGAGGAGGAGGAGGAGGAGGAGGAGGAGGAGGAGGGGGGGCAGGAGGAGGAGGAGGAGGAGGTGCAGGAGGAGGAGGAGGAGGAGGAAGAGGAGGAGGAAGAGGAGGAGGAGGAGGAGGAGGAGGAGGACGGGAAGCAGGAGGCTCACGTGCAGCCTGGCCTTGCAGCCAGAAGCGGGAGCGCGGGAAGGCCGGCATCGGGCCCGCTCAGCGTCAGCGTTTCGAACGTCGTGATGTTCCGAACACTCAGACGCGACAGCAAGCCAGGTTTATGTGGGGCGTGTTTTTCTACAGGAGGAATCTTCGAGAATAGTAAAACATGGCCTCGTGACAACGTGTCGTGCCTTCTTATCATGCTTGAAAATGTTTGGACTATGTTGTTGGTCGTTTCCAAAAACCGCCTGTAGGAGAACATGCCCGACCTAAAGCCAGGCATAAGGCATACCATTTCTTAAACCTCAGGCACCTGGAGGGGCTTCCCCGCCTTCGGGTGCCTGTCAGACTTGATGGCTGTTGCAGCGTTATCGTTGATTCGAGCGGGCCTGACTGTGCTCGGAAGGACCAGCGCACGTGCCCGAGAGCTTACAGTTCCCAAGTCGGCGATCCACGAGCTGGAAGGAGCCACCGAGAGTACAAATCATTGCCCCCAGACAAAATCAACCCTATGGCCGTCGAGCTCGACGGTCTCAACGAACTCGGGCGGTACAGCCTACCCAGGACCGTTCGGGCCATCCACAGGAGCCGCATGAGGCCCATCCATGACCCAGTCGGCAACATCTAACGCACCCAGAACAGCCTCACTCCTGTACAGCGGGGTTCGCTGCAACACTTGATCCCTCATAGCCCTCAAAGCTTCTTAGTCTGGGGGCTGACATGTTGAGTAGTTCGCGCAACCATACATCAATGTCTGAGACTGGCTGGGGTCCGAGCAATGGCCAATCAGTACTTGCTGTGATAGTCTCCACGGCTCCGGACGACCGCAGTATGAGGGTATATTGCTACACAGGGCGTGGGCGTGTGCTCTTTCATCCGTTTCTGAAGCATACCAGGCCTCCCCGACTCAGCACTACTCTCACATGTCTGTTAAGGTGCTCCTGGAGGCCATTGCGGCGTCTTTGGTGTTCTTTCAGGGGCTCTCGTGGGCGATCCTGGGAGCAATCTTCGGGCCGCAGAAGCCCATCGGAAGCAAAGAGCCAGAAGGCCAAAGTCATTGACATACGTAATGCATTTGAGTGAGTTTGGCCTCTCGAGGGCATTTTTTGGAGGCTACGAGGCCACCTCAAGTCGTCTTGAGGCACCTTCGAGGCACGCCAGAGGTCATATTGTGTTCGCTACCCCTCGTTTTTGGCGCGCATTTGTTCTTGACAGTACCCCCGTCCAGGTTTCCCGGGGTCGCATGTCCTTCTCGGTCCTTGGCACCGCCTGCACCCCGGGTTCCACCTGCTCCGGCGGCCTGAGGCCCCGCCTTCCTGTGCCCTGTCTCCTCACGAAAAGCTGCGCGTAGCCCGCATAGCTTTTAGCGGAAGAGGTTCGCTCTCGCCCCGCAGACCAAAAAGAAAAGTATCCTTCTCGGTCCTTCCCCTTTCCGCTGTTCTTCGTCCCCCTCGCTGCTGCTTCACGCTTGGCCGCAGCCTTTTTGGTTCCCTTCTAGGCGCAGGATTGAAGAAGGGCTCGGTTTTCACCCAGAGGGAGGTTTGGCCCACAGGCCGTTCCATCCCAATGTATCTATTTAACCATATTCGGCATTTTTGCGCCGCCTCGGATGCCACCTTCGAGGCATATGGGGCCATCCTGAAGCAACATGGGCCCACCCGAAGACACCTCCGACAGGCCCGCATCCTGAGGGCGTGTTGTGCCTAAGGGCTTCGCCCTGGCCCCCTCGTCCATCAGAGTGGGGCATGCCAGAGCTGAAATGTGAAGCCTGGGCGCGACTTGTCATGCGAAGACGGCTGGTAACCGTACGGTGGCAGCGTTCGTTAAGGAATGTGCCGGGGAAGCTGCAGACCCTGGAGGCTTCCATATCTGATGAGGGCGGCGATGATATCCATGGCCGATCCACGAGTGCAGTTCTCCCAGCTTCCAGACCCTGGATTCCGTATCCAAGGGTTCCTTATCCAATGCCCTCACCGTAGCGTCATTTACAAGAAGCCCCAGCCTTGGAATCGCAGGTGTAGCTTAACCTCATGAAAGAATCGCGGCACTGGGTGCGCGAATCCGCGAGCTCGGTGCCCGAATGTGGAGTAAATTGCAAAGACTTGTGGCCTTGGGGGCTTGAACCTTCTGTACTTTACATGGGATCGTGGCCGCGGGGGCACGAACTTGGAGCAACTTGCAAGAAATCGTGGCCTCGGGAGCGCGAGTCTTGAGGAACTTCAGCAGTGAATCTTGCCTTCGGCGGCGCGACCATGTTGCAATTTGTAATGATTCGTTGCCTCGGGGGCGCGATTCGGGTGCAACTTTGAAGAATGCTGCCCTGGGGGCGCGAGAATCTAATACATTTGTATTCTCAAATATCCCAGGGCCTCCTGGGGAATTATGACAACCCCGACGGGGGTAGCAGCGGGGGGGGGACTCAGGACATGCCTCTGTCGGGGCCTTCGGGGGGGCTGCGTCGCCTCGGCTTTATCGCCTCGAGGCGATGCGCACTTCAGGAGAGGTTCTACAGTGCCGTTTTCAATACATGCTCCGCGTGCGGATCATGTGTGTAAATTCAGGGATTGAGCATTAAAAACAACGATAAGTTCATGCATACATTTATTCATAAATTAACCGTGTATTAAACATCCAATGTATCAAACATCCTATGTATCAAAACCTGCCCTGTAGGGGGGGCCAGCGGTACTGAGGGGCAGATGGGGGAGGAGATGGAGGATGAGGAGGAGGGGGGGCAGGAGAAGGTGGAGGACGATGACGAGGAGATGGAAGACGATGCAGATTGCTCCCTCAGCCCCATCGCGGGCCTTGCAGGAACTTCACTGTACTTCACGCGGGGCTTGGGGGGCTTGGGTGGCGAAAGCACGAAGGTGCCACAGCCCCGGCGGGACCTGCTTGTACAGGGGTCGGCGAGTCCCCCAGTTGGGAGGTGGTTTGAAGAATTAACGGGCGAAGAACGGTATAACATAATTTTTTCCGCTGTTGGGGGCGCCTGTCCCTGGGTGGCTGGGAAGTTTATACCCTTACGGTGGCACCGTAGGGGTATAAACTTTCCAGTCGCCCAGGGACAGGCGCCCCCGACAGCGAAACAGTTTATTTTATACCGTTCTTCGCTCGCTGAAAGAAGGAGCCAGAAAGGAACAGCATGTTGCAATGGGGGAACAGATGCAGGATATAGGATGTTGGAGAAAGGTTGGAGAAAGCGGAGGGGTGGGTGGCGTGGGAGGAGATCCTAGAGACATGGTAGACGGAAGGGGGGGGGGGAGGAGGCCCCCTTTTGGTATGGGGAGGGCAGTACCCAATGCACCTCTCTATCCCCTTCGCGCCCGCTACGCAGTCGTCTGCAGCTTCTCGGCCTAGAGCTTGCCCCACTCCGGCCCCCTTCGCCCCCTTCCGCGCGCGCGCGCGGCCGGGGCGCCAGGGGCCTGCGCAGGCGGCCGACCCGGAGGACCGCTTCGTCGTCTACGCGGCGGCCACCTTCTACGTGTACAGCGCGTGGTCTTCCGCGAAGCGGAGATCCAGCGCTGCCCCCCCGAGCTC